CCCTTTGGTGTTCCTTGGCGCCAACCGTAATCATGGAGTTCGGGCAATATGGAGCATGGTCGAGGAGTCTTTCCATCATCGGCTGCATAACTCCAAGAGCTCTAACTTCGGATCCAAACACCACTTCCCCAATTCTGGAGCTGAGGAGGGGGATTGCTCGGTCCGAAGTGTTGCACGGTCGCGTAGCTCAGCAAAGTGCCAAGGTATCGAACTAAGCTTCGAGGTCCGTCTTCCTGGTGGGGCCGAAGAATGGCTCTCTGATTCCAGTGGAAGTCGAGCTCCAGTGTTAAGGTCACTGTGATGTTTGGCCATGATGTGCCGAGCTTCTAAGTCGGCGCTTAGCTTGGCCGGGTGCCGAGGAAGGGCTTTCTTTTGCCGGTGGGAGGCCGATCTTCGGAGTTGCGATCGATGATGGAAAGTCGGGGACCTTAGAGGTGTCGATCTATGGAGCTGTGGCGATTGTGATGCTCGGCCATGGTATGTCGGGCTTTGAAGTTGGGGGCCTCGCAGGTGTCGAGCTATTGTGATGCTCGACTATGACATGCCGAGCTTCGAAGTTGAGGGCCGGAGGTGCCGACCTATTGTGATGCTCGGTATGGTGCACCGAGCTACAGAGTCGCGGTCTCTGTTCTTCGGCTGAGGAACTTGTACTTAAAATTTCAAAATCCAAGCACCACTCCGAAGTCGAAGAGTGGGGTGCCCGATTGAGAGATAGCGGTGCCTCCTTTGGTTGGTATTTGCTGTTGAGCGTCCCAAAGAAACCAGAAGAACTAGTTGACCTAGTGGGCCTGGGTGAACCTTGAGCATCTGCGTCGTTGGTTTGACCGCCACTACAGGGTGGATCGGAGCAATTAATGCCCTGGTTGTTGCTTGTCAAGGTCGTTGCTTCGGTTCCTGAACCCTTGTGCATGCGGTAAAAGTTGCATCGATTGGTCTTCTCGAGCTTTGTCAGGGCGACGCTTGATCCTCACCATAGATATAGCACCGATTCGCGTTCCTGTGGGTTATAAGAATGGGTGGACGGGCATTTCCCCTTTGCCATTTGCAAGAGGAGTTGCTTGGATAGCTCGGCGGGGTGTTGTCAGCGTTGCTCGGCATTTTGTTTTTATTCCTCGACTTCAAGCTTGGTAAGATGTCTTCCTCATCTTCCCATTCTTCTTCCGCTTCTAGCTCTTCTAGTTCTAATGAGTTCGATTATGAATCCGAGGTTGGGGCTTTTGAGGATGCCGAGGTTAGTCCCTCTAGGGTGGAAGCCGAGCTTCCCTTGCGGGCTGGTCGCTGGTTTGGGACCACACCCTGTGTGTTGGCCCTCGAGGACATGGCTCGGATCCAAGCTATGTACGACATCAACGAGGAATTCCGAATGAGGTGCCCGCAGCACAATGAGATGGCAACCGATGCGTGACGAGATTTGTGAGTATGAGAACAGCTTGGAAGTCAGGCTGAGGTTTCCTCTGAACGAAGGGGTTGCCGAAGTACTTGCATAGTACCGAGTACTGCCGGTGCAACTGATGCCGAACTCCTTTAGGTTTTTGGTCGGCCTTCTGTCCTACTGCGCCGTTCGTGATATCGAGTTGACCCTGGGTATGGTGAGCTTCCTTCTTCAGCTCAAACCTCACCAGCAGGGCTATTACTACTTCTCGACTAAGAAGAACATCAAAGTGCTGGTCGGGGCTCCTTCCTCTGTGAAGCATTGGAATGAGACTTTCTTCTTTGTCCACTGCCCCGGGGGCCTCCCCTTCCCGGCCGTGCTACAAGAGCCGAGAATGAGAATGCCCCAACCTCAATGGTCTGCACTTACTTGGGAAGAAAGATCGGCTTTGACCATGATCCACGAGATAGACGTAGCTGCGTATACATGCTCGGAGATGTTGATGCTCGGCGAGCTGATGCATAGGGTGGCTGGTCTGTCCTTTTTGTTGCTTTATTTGCTTGTACTTTTTTGCTTCTTTGATCTTGTACTTACTGCCATGCTTCCGCGGTGCAGGTGTAGAAATGGCAAGTGAAGAGGAAATTGTACGTCAGATGAAGGAGAATCGCTAGAGGCAGAACTGAGCTGGCACGACACCACAGATTCGTCCCGAGGTAGTTGTTCCTTAGAGGTCTTCTAAGAGGGCATCTCGTGAGTTTAGGTGGGGAGCAGTAGCTCTAATATTCATGTGTCGTGTTGGATGGTCCGCAGCTGGGATGGGCTGGAGACCCCCGGTGTTCCCGAGCAGCTGTTCCGTGGGATGATGATGGCCTACACCACCGAAGAGGCTGGGAGTAGCGCCTTAGAGTGCTCACTCATTTGGGCTGTGACTCAGGTGAGTTTGTACTTGCCTTCATTGTTTTAAGTATGTTTCCTCGTACTAATAATGCTTCTTGTGTCCACAGAACGCATGCTCGGCCATTGCCATGGTTGATCGCCTTCGTGAGTTGCAGCGATAGTACGAGAAGGAGCATTCTGAGTTCCTACAGCTGAAGGCACAACTAGTCGAGCTTTAGGCGGCTGGGGAGCAATTTGCTGCACTAGCTAAGGAGGTGGTCGAGCAAGTAGAGTTGCTCCATGGCTTGAAGCACGAGATCACCAAACTGGAGGCAGAGAGGGAACGACTGAAGCAAGAGGCTACCGAGGAGGTAGTGGCGCGTTACAAGAGCTCGGTGGAGCTTTGGCAGGACATGGATCAGTATGCTTCGACTTCCTACGAGGCTGGTTTCAACGTCTTCCGGCGGAGAGCATTACGCCACTATCCCGAGCTAGCCGGTATTGTGCAGACTCGGGAGGCCTATGATGACAAACGTCCCCAGCCTCGGATGAACTTGTTGATGAGGAGGGGAGAGGCAGCGATGATGATGATGGAGGTGACGAGGCCACCAATCTCCCTTCCGCGGATTGAATTGCTATGGATTCCTTTTTCTCTTTTATTTTGTTGCTCTTGTAATGGCTTGGTATGTCGAGCTTTCATCTACTGTACTAGCTATTTAACTTAATGAAATTTTCTGGTTCCAAACTTGTGTGCAATCATAAAACTTTTCTCTTCTTCTTTTTTTTTTGGAGGGGGGGGGAGTTCCTTGGCCTTGCCTTGGCCGAGATCTTCAGCCTTCGACTGGCGTAGCGGGAGTGTATTCCTAGCTCTCATCTTTGGGATGCTCAGTTTTTTGTCTTAGGAGCATTTGGGGCCCTTTGAGGGCTAGCCGTTGCTCGGCTAGCTCTGATCGACTTAGTAAGTGAGTGGAGTTTGATTGACTGTCCTCAGGCCTTGATGGGCGGGGGCGTTCTTCTCCGCTTTAGGCTCAGGCCGTGGGCAGCCGAGTCAAGTTAGTCGACAATATGCTGCCAAGCTATGCATTGTGGGCTCGGGCTGTTTGGAGGTCAATCGAGACAGGTTGGTCGGCAATACGTTGTGGGCTCGAGCCGTTCGGAGGCCAACCGAGTCAGTAAGTTGTATCGAGTTGCATGTGTTGCATGGTCGCGTAGCGTAGTCATGTAGCTCAATTTTGTAGCTCGGTCGTGTAGCGCAGTGCTCGTGCAGTGGTGTGTGCGTGCATGTAGTGTGTTAGAAAATTAACACTTTTCTTGAACAATGTGCTCTTTATTATCATTGAATCATTGGTAGTACATTTGAAGGTTTCATGTGTTCCAACTCCTCAATATTAGTCGACCATCAAGGTCTTCGAGCTTGTAGGTGTCCGAACCAAGAACTTTGGTGACTCTATATGGCCCTTCCCAATTTGGTCCGAGTTTTCCTTCCCCGGGCACGGGCATTATGACTTTGTGGAGGACGAGGTCACCTGTATTGAGCTCGCATCTTCTGACTTTGGTGTCGTAGTATTTTGCCATCCTCTACTGCTGTGCTACCATCTTGACATGTGCTCGGTCCCAAGCTTCCTCGATTAGGTCTAACTTTGCACAGAGGTCCTCGTCGTTATGGTCCTCATCGAAAAACTCAATCCGAAGAGTTGGAGAGCCAATCTCTATAGGTACCATAGCTTCGGCTCCATAGGTCAGGCTGAAGAGTGTATCTCCGGTGGTTGTCTGCGGAATAGTTATGTATGCCCAAAGTATGCTCAGTAGTTCCTCGGCCCACATCCCCTTGGCCTGGTTTAACCAAGTCTTCAGGTTGTGCAATAAGGTTCGGTTGGTTACCTTGGTCTGCCCATTGCTATAGGGTCGGTGTACAGTAGTGGTCCGATAATTGATCTTCAGGTCGGAGCAGAGGGCCTCGAACTTTCGGTCGGTGATCTGTGTCCCATTGTTTGTGATGAGGACGCACAGAATACCGAATTGGTAGACAATACTCTGCTGAAAAAAGTTTCGGGCATTGTGTGTAGTAATGTGTGCTAGAGCTTCGGCTTCCACTCATTTGGTGAAGTAATCTACTACTACCACGAAAAGCTTTTTCTGAGCAACCGCGGTGGGGAAGGGGCCGAGGATATTCATCCCCCATTGTGCGAACGACCATGGGCCGGTGATTGGCTTTAGGGGGACTGCAAGTTGGTGATGGAGATTGGAGTATCGTTGACAACTGTCACATTTTCAAACTAATTGGGCTACGTCTTGCTTCATCGTCAGCCATAAATAACCTTGCCGAAGTGCCTTATGTGCTAGGGTGCATACACTAGGATGGTCTCTGCAGATACCTCACATGCACATCCTACCATGCATTGAGAACATCTCCTGTAATTTTAAATTATTATTCACGGGAGATGTTCCCAATGCATGGTGGATGTGTATGTGAGGCGCCCAAGTGTGGGGAGCAGATCCCGTCTCACCTGCTCACACATCCCACATCCGGCATCCCTACCCATAAAATACCACCACCGTGTTTGGGGAGCATCTCTCTCAATGACAAGCGAGATATTCCCAATGCGCATATGTAACGCTGTGTGAGTAGAGACGTGGAAAAATGTGCGTAGCGGATCGAGTTCGAGGCAAAAACGATAATTTTTTCGTCTAACAGAGATGAACAAAGCGAATATTATCTTACAATTATTATCATTTACTGTAAAAATATAAAAGTGGAGGCAGTACAACTTTCACTCCAACAGTCCAGCTTCTCTCTCTTTCGTCTTCAGTTCTTCGTCACTCTCTCCGAGTCTGCTCCGTTTATGCTCGGCTTGTTTGCTCTTCTGGAACGTAAATGCACAAGACCTCCATTAACTTCTCTCTCTCCAGTTCATTTTCCTCGCTAAGACGGTGAAATGGTGGGAAAGGGGAAAGCAGTATTGGTGAAAGATTCATCAGCGAAGAGGAAGCGTGAAGATAATACAGATAAGTCGAGTCTCCAGAAAAGGAAAAACCCCGGAGTTCTCCAATTCTTCGACGACGCTGCGGCTGTCGACAAAGACGTCGAGGAGAGCAGCGAAGATGATGAACTTGACGACGATGGTATACTTCACTTTTTGCTTTAATTTCCGTGGAATTTGTTTTTGGGTCTATGCTATCTTCATTTCAGCCCCTAGGCCTAGGGTTTCTTTTCCGATCGTTATTTTCTATTTTGGTATTGTTTTGTGAATATATGCTTAGAGCACTTTTTAGGGCTTATTTCGTGGTTAGATCAAAAGCCCTCGCACCTGAACTATTATGCGGACAAATGGGAATGCGGATGTGCATCAGCATTATTCGTACATGCATGCTTATGTGGGCTTGCATTTTGTGTTTTGATCATACTCGTTTTTTGTCTAAATGTTGAAATAGTTTCGGGTTTGGTGTGTGGAAAAAGTACGCAAGTATTTGGTTGTTGCTTGTGACGACATCTTTTGAGTTCTCGTTTTAGAAGGCATGCGATATTTGTGCATTAATTAGCGTTTTTTTTTAATTCTAATATATGGGTTCAGATAATGTGATTTATTTAAATGGATGGTACGTAATCATAGTAATTCAGGATCTTTTGGTTATCGTCAGCAACTCAGCATTGATTTGGTTTATCTACCTGGCCATGCACAGGTGGTTTGTAGATTATATTTCCATTAGGAATTGAATTCGAGCAAGAAAACAAATACTTGTCAATATTTAAATCGTATCCAGGGAAGAAGCAAGGGTTTGGATTTCACTGATATATATGGCAAAGCTATAAATCACTTAGTAATTTGAGGACAAAATTATGGATGAAGATATTGGAAGGGCATCTTTTATTGTATTATGGACAGTGAACCAGTTCTCAATGCAGTTTCAGGGGCTGCTGTTATATGTCTTCTTCTCACAAATCACAGTTACGGCATTGGCACTTTTAAGTTGTTGCCCAAAACGGGGAGAACAGAACCCGACTAAATAGGTTAGCAAAGAATTAAAAGAGGTTTTAACTGCTTAAGACACAGATTGGTGACTTGGTGTAGCTAACTTACAGCTAAAACTCATGCAATAACAAAAACACTATGGTACTGCCTTAGTACCTTAGGCCCAAACAACCAAAAAGAAAACTTCCAAATGTTAGCTCTCTTGACCTACCTGAAAATGGCCTTCTTATTGTACTTGCAAAAGAGATTCTAGATTCAAGTGCCTTTTCTTTTTCATGCATATTAGAAATTTAGAATTATAAATTTTAATCACACTTTGAAGCTTATGAACCTATTTATAAATTATAGTACATAGCTTGTTAACTCCTTGTTCTTTACATGACCAGTAAGAATCATTGCGCATTGAATTTCGTTCACCTCCTGCCTGTGTCAACCTATACGATATCTCTTGGAAGTTGGAACTTGAAACTCCAATATTTTATGGAAATGTTTACGATATCTCAGACTCTCCCTTCCCCCCCTAAAATACCCTTTTTTGCCGTGTTTATATCATCTGAAAGAAAGGGTGTGCAGTCAGCCAATCAACTTTTTATCCACTGCAAGCTGGCCTTGTTTACTTGGGCCTTCATCTGAAAGAAAGGGTGACCAGTAAGAATCATTGCGCATTGAATTTCGTTCACCTCCTGCCTGTGTCAAGCTATACGATATCTCTTGGAAGTTGGAACTTGAAACTCCAATATTTTACGGAAATGTTTACGATATCTCAGACTCTCCCTTCCCCTCCTAAAATACCCTTTTTTGCCATGTTTATATCATCTGAAAGAAAGGGTGTGCAGTCAGCCAATCAACTTTTTATCCACTGCAAGCTGGCCTTGTCTACTGGGCCTTCATATTGAAAAATTTTTGGCATATCCTAACCCCTTCCTGAGAATACCTAGGACTGATGAAATGTGTAAGGAAGTAGGGGTGATCCTTTGGCTGGGTTCTCCCAGTCCTAGGATGAGGCATACATGGCCTGAGTTTTACTTATAACCTTGGCCTGCCTTACCAGACAGTAAATAGGGCTAGGCCTGGCCTGCCTGGGCCAAAATGTAGGTCTGAAGTTGGGGTTTGGGTTGTTTAGGCTGAGCTTAGTGGGACCTTTATATACGTTATATATTACAAAGTAGAATATAGAAGTGACATTTAATTCAAAAAGGAGAGATGCACATGGGAGGTTGTAAAAAAAGCAGGGCTTTGTTACAAAAAGACCAAAAGCTACTGAATTGATAGGAAAAGTATTTGCACTATAGAAAAAAAATCTCTGGTCCTGTTTTAGCCATGGTTCAAAGTATTGTTACACCTGTGTATCGGCAGAGGTGTATTGGTATTTTAAGTGATGCGTCTTTTATTTTTTTAGTTTTTTTTTTCAAATTTCAGTTTTAAGTATAATTTTATATATTATTTAATAAAAATGGGGTTCACGGAAACACCTGTATACAGGTGTAACGGGCAGCCAAAAATATGATACGATACACCCAATACGGGTTGTATTGTATCAAAACCTTTGTTTTATCTAAAGAATCAATAATTTGGTTCAGCTCTTTAGGAATCCACATGAAGCTACAGCAAAAGGTAAGCAGAAAGCTCACTAATTTCATGATATTTATGTTATATTTTATAAATAGCATGCAAGTAGTATAAACATAACAAATAAGTAGCATATATTCAACCAATGGCTAATGTATTTGATATGCAAATAAGGTATATGGTCTTCTTTTTGTACAAATGTAGATTTATATTGTGTGTAAATTCAAGTTGGCCTAGCAAGGCTCAATTTGATTCTTACCCTAATGTGAATCTAGGTACATCAAAGATAATTTGGCACTTGGGGAAATATAGGTGGATAAGATTGGTCAAAATATCAAATTATTTGTGATTTTGTATTTGGTCAGGATACTTGGCTTCCTTAGAGCTGAAGCACCAACTAGTAGTGGCAATCAATTATGGGATGGATTTTTCTTGTATTTTTTTATCAACTGTACAGTAGTGAGTTGATCATATTGTGGTTGGGTTGTGTTGGTCTTGGGGCCACCTTTTCCTTTATCCCATAGCTTTGTGAGTGTTGGATTTGTCCTTTCTTTTGTCTTTGAATCAGTAAATCTATTTGTTCTTGTTGCTGACTCAAGAAAGGAGAGAGAAAAGTTAAAAAGCAAAAAGAGCTGAAGCATTGAACAACCTTTGGCCCTATTCTATGAGATAGCTGGAGATGATCCCACTATAGTCCAAATACTGGTCACCAAGAGGCTCATTTTGAGTCCAATTTCAACTTAATGATTGCAGTATTCCATGGGCAAGCTGGCCAGTGGCATACTACAGTTCAAAACTCCAAATATTGACCCACCAAGAGGCCCAAATTCAACTTAGTGATTGCAATTCTTTAAGGGGCAAATCCTTATCAACTAAATGATTTGCATTAATTTGTTGCAGGGAAATTTATAATGCAAAAGCATCTTTTGTTGTCCTTTTTTAGATGTCTTTAATGTGATTTGTGATTTTGTATGAACTAAAATTTGTATAGATCATAAGGGTATTTTCTTGTAAGCTCTATGTACTATTCTAGCTGCTTATCTATAAAAAATGAGTGAGCAATTTGATTCATCTTATGATCGTGAGATTTGAATTGTTATGCAATATAAGAAGTCAGGTCCTTCAATTATCATTTCTATCTTTCTTTGTTGTTTATTTCTTTCTCTTTCACTTGATTCTCTTAACCTCAATCCCTTTTCCCTTCAATACATCCAAACCTCTCTACATTCCCTTTGAATCCTTGTTCCACACTTTTGATGTGTGCAGCTTCTCTTTGAGTGGTTATTCTTTATCAATGACTCTTCTTTGAATGTTTTTTTTCTTTCAAAATATGGAACTAAATTTTCTTTCTTTGAGTCAATGTGGTTTTCTCAGTCAGTTCATCTTGTTACATCTTTTATACTGGTTGCATTACCAAATGGGGACAAAAGGACAGGATATTATGAAGCATCATTCTTTACTAAGCTTTGCATATCTGGGAGTGCAATTTTTGGGACATTATGTTCAGAAATCAGGGAATGCTTAGGATCGGAGACCAGGTGATAGCTCAGTGTGACCATTTCCAGTAGCTTGGTTCAATAATTCATAAGAAGGGAGAGATTGAGGAGGATGTCACCCAAAGAATTAGAGCAGGTTGGGAAAAAATGGAGGGGTGCATCTGGACTTTTGTGTGATGGGAGAATACCACTAAGATTACAAGGAAAATTCTATAAAACCGTTGAAGGCCAGCTATGTTGTATGGAGCAGAGTGTTGGGCAGTCAGGAACAACATGTTCAGAAAGTGAGTGTGGAAAAAATGTGAATACTAAGGTGGATGAGTGGAAAAACTAGAATGGATAGGATCAGGAATGAAACCAACTGTAGAAACCTAGGAGTAGCTCTAATAAGTGATAAAATGAGAGACTGTAAACTAAGATGGTTTGGTCATGTGCATGGACCACCAACAGCTCCAGTTAGAAGAAGCGATTTGTTACAAGTGGAAAGGGCTAAAAGAGCTAGGTGCAGACCAAAACGGACATGGATAGAAATTGCAATAAACAGTCTAGCATCCTAATGGTTATTTTTGTACACACGTGTTGATTATGAGCATTGTTTATGAGGTAGTGGTTCTTGAAAACAAAGTTAATCAGTATTGTTATGTGCATTGTTTAGGCTAAAGGATTTTTGCCCATTTTCCTTGCTCATCAATTTTATTTTAGCATTCTCTGTTAGTACCTTGGAAACACCTTTCGAAGAGCCCAAGGGAGAATTATATCAATGAAATTGATACATTAACATTTGACTTTATAAGACAGATTAAGATGAATTACATTTAGTTTTAAAATTGGCAAGTACAACATTATAAGCAACATGCCTATAATGGTTCTACACTTGTAGTTGCATCTGTGAATTTGCAATATAATAGGAATTGTCTATAAATGGTTTAGGAGTGTTATTGACTTGTGCTGTCTATGTCTTCTTTGGGTTAGAAGAGATTAGAATATGTAATTTAAAAGGTCACTACCCAATGTTCATCCTAGCTATCTGGGGTTTTGGGAGGGGTAGATTGGGTACGGTCCTAATCATTGGCATTTTTTTGCACAA